GCCGACTGCAGTATTAGAGGATAGCTTCAGCCTGGGGAGGAGGCAGAATCCTCAGACCTTGAACCTGGGAGGTAAGAATGAGGGGTTAGTAAGGCCTGAGAAGGGCCTGAGGGATGCTGAACAGAGAGGAGAGTGGCAGGGTATACTGCCAGTCCCTGCTGGCCAAGAACAGGAGATGGTCCCTACAGAGCAGGTCCTGTCAGATTCTCTGACTCCCAGGGGTGTCCATCGAGCACCTGGAAGCCCTCCAGAATAGGAAGCAGGAAGCACAGGGCTAAGGCCCTGCCTGTGGTTCCTATCTTTACAAAACCATGGCTAGATGGGTGGAGACTTGGTTTCTACTGTGAACATATGAAGGCCTGGCTCCACCTCTGGTTTTCAGAAGCTTTGTGACATCAGTTTTATGCCTCATAGCGCCCACTATGGATAACGTGACAACAATTGCCAAGAAACGCATCAGAGCAGCTCCTCACAGTGACTGGGTGTCTTGTTTTCACAGCCCTGGCTCTTCTCCCCTTCTGCTCATGGTCCTTCCTGTCCTCACTGCTGGGCCACACAGGCACATTCCGTGTGAGGTGTCATTCACATCTTCGACTATTAGATGTCCACAGAGATCCTGGTAGGAAGCTTTTCTGTTCTTTTCAGGCTGGGCCAACATTTCCAAGCACAGGTAGATTTTGTTCTGGTCCACCACAGGAAATTAGGGAGCCAGACAAACAAGTGTCCGCGTACGTTCCCCTCACACACTGATATAATCTCTTTCATATAACACGTCCAGTGAATAAAGTCTGAGAACCAGTATCTGGGCCACCTGGGATCCCAGCCTTTACTTTCTGATCCTTTTCCAAATCATAGAGCTGAGAGCGAATAATTGCCAGAGTCTAGGACATGAATCATGAATGTGCCATCTTGGGGTGTCTCAGTCTCCTGTATCTCCTGCCTCCTTCATATGGTTACATACTGAAGGCCCAGGTTGCCTCCTGACCTCACAATGATCAGGATGCCTAGGAGGCATGACTTCATCATGGGTAACATCTTAGTTGCTCTGTGACTTGGGAGCTACTTATTCAGCGTCTCTGGGCCTTTCGTTTCTTGTGTACAATGTGGATGGCAACAATACTTATGATATGGAGTCACACTAATGGTGAAGTAAATATATAAATGTACAGACTATATGGAGAACGTGTGTGTGTGTGTGCGTGTGTGTGTATGTATGTATGTCTTGCTATGTAACATGGGCTACATAAACATGGCCGAAATAACCCATGGATGCCTCACAGTTATAGATGGCTGTTAGTAAGTACTGCAACCTGAACTCAGGTCCGCTGGTTAAGAGCACTATCCAGACCAAAGTATATATCTTATTATTATTTCAGGTTTTGTTTATTTTAATTTTATTTGCATGGTTATTTTACCTGCGTGTGTGTCTGTGAATTTGCCCACAGAGATCATAAGATGGTGTCAGATCCCTTGGAACTTTAATAACAGGCAGTTGTGAGCCACCATTTGGGGCCTCGGGACTGAATTCAGGTCGTCTGTAAGAGCCATCCCCTCACCCTTGCATCAACATATATATTTTACTTTTAAGTTTTCTTTGTTTTTAAAGTTTTAATTTATTTCTTATCATATTTTCTCCCTTCCCCAACTCCTCCCAAGTCAACATCATGCTCTTTCTCTTGCTTAAACAAACAAAACAGTCTGTTTATAAGTCAAAACAAAACCATGGCGTCCTATTGATACTGGAAACTACTGGGCATGGGGTCTGTTTGCCATACCCAGTGCCACTCCATTGAGAAAGCAGCTATCAATCACAAACAGCTACTTCCTAGGTGTAGGGCTTTGTGGCCACTTCCCCACCTCCATGCTGGAATTTTATCTGGCTTGAGCTCCTGCAGATCTTGTCAATGATGTCACAGTCTCTGTGAGGTCATATGTGCATCAGCTCTGTTGGGTCTGGAGAATGTTGTTGCTTTGGAGTCATCCACCACCTCCGGAGATTCAGATAGATGCAAACTCCGTGAGTCATCACCCATGAGAGAGTGGGCTTTTAGTGATGCAAGTGCTTTAGAATCACCCCTATGCATGTAAAGTCCTCGCCCACAATTTGGTCTGGCATGGGTTCCCTACCCAGTAATAATGTCACACAATGCCATGACGGTGCTGTTATTGGTGACCATGGCACATGGTGGAGACTCCTCATGTGGCAATGGACAGGATGCAAAGCTTACAGATCGGATTCAGTGAGTGTAATAGCCTTCAAAGGCCCTGCCCTCATGCTACAGGTCTGGGATGCTCCACACACTCCTCCAACAGTGCCACCTGCTCGGGATAATGCTCAAACAGCAAACTTGCAAGCCCCACCAACAATCTAAGTAGACTAAACTGAACTGAGGGCAGCAGCTGTTCCCAGCAACCAGCTTTTCCTAAATGAGCAGTAAATGATTATAAAGGCAGTGACAGGTTCACCACTGTCGCCAGTATCTTTTTCTTCTACTTTAAGAGAATTACTTAATTTTATTTTACATGTATGAGTGTTTGGCCTGCATAATATATGCCTGTGTGAAGGTGCCGGGTCCCCTGGAATTGAGTGACAGCCAGCTGTGAGCTGCCATGTGGGTGCTGGGAATTGAACCCGGGTCCTCTGGAAGAGCAGACAGTGATGGTCACTGCTGAGCCATCCTCCCAGCCCTCACACACACTTATTAAAGTCTCTAGCTTACTGATAAGGTATTACAGTTCTTGCTTTTGTAAGTGTCCAGAAAATATTTATCCTTTATTTGTAGTGTTTGATCCATTAATAGCTAATGTATCTGTTGTTACATTCTACTCTTTTTCCTTTGCACTCTTATCCCCCTCATATTTTGTTTCTCTAATTCTTATTGTTAATGTTTTAGCTTTAGAACTCTATCATTTCTCATCAGCCTTTCTGATATGTTTAAGTGATTATAAATTATATGTCCTAAATATGTTATATTCTACACAGTATTGGTTTTTGACAACTTTGTCCAGAAAAGAAATCCTGATGTTAGTGTGGTGCCTCAAACCTGTAATACCAGGACTCAAGAAGTGGAAGCAAAGGGTTTGACATGAGTTGATGCCAGGCGTGGTCACATGGTGAGTTTTGGTTTATTATGGTTTGCAGGGTGAGATCCTATTTCATAAGTAAAACTTTTTAACAATAGAAATTCATTTGCCATTTTCTATTGCTCTTTATTCTACAATACACTGTAGTTAATTCATGTGCATATGTGTTAAACATACCTAAAATATCATTATTTCCTTTTTAGCATTCACATATATGTTACATTTTGTGCACATGTGTTTATACATGCGTGTCACAATATACACGTGAAGGTAGCAGGCTACTTTTAGGCGTCACTTCTTCCTTTTCAGTGTACCCACGAAGGCAAACTCAGGCCATCATGGTCCACTCAAGCATCTGTAGGCACTGGGCCATCTTGCAAGGCCCTTGTGTATTTTAAAGGAAAAAAGTGGAAATAGGGAACTTGGTATTAAGATGACATTCAGCCTTCTGATGGTCTTTATTTGCACCAAAGGATGTTCTTGTTTCTTGTATTCTTTTTTTCAACTTCAACTTCTGATTGTTTATATTTGTGTATTCCTCTTTTTCCCAGGACTCTTACTTTTCTTTCTTTCTGAAAACATCTCTGTCACCTTCAGGCAGGAAGAATGTTATCAATGGATAAGAGACTGAGTTACCTTTTTCTGTCACCATCTTTTACAGGAAGTTGCTCTCTTGATAGGGAAGCTCAGCCAATCCCATTTGGCTAGGGTGTGGCTGCCTGGGGGCTGGGAAGAAAACCTGGGAATCCAGCTGCCCTTCATCTCTTCTGCACTCTCCTTGCTGTGTTTGCCACACCCATTTTGGGCCTGGGAAACTTTACCTGGTCTCCTGAGTGTCCCCTTTTCAATTGTTAAATTATATCTGTTATTTTCAGCTGGTCTGCTTAATTCGAGCTTATTGGTAAAATACGCCCTCACTCTCTTCTAGGGTCCAAGGTCACTGATGAGAAAGTCACAGCTTTTTGAATAAAACCCATCATGCTTCATATGCTAGCACCTCAAGTGTATGGAGGGGATTGGCCATCTTTTCAATACGTGGTCTTGGGATTTCCGGCTATCCCTGTATACACATGAGGCTTTCCTCTCTCACTCTTTCCACACACATGAAAAATAAATTCCATAGTCCCTTTAAAGAAAATCATGGTAGAACAATTCATCTCATACCAGCACCAGTATTAGAGAAAGCCCAAGAGAAGGGAGGACTTTTGTGGTTCTGAGAGGAGAGAATGAACATCAGAGACAGGCATTGGCATAACGTGACACAGCTAATACTGTTGGTCAGCGACCTGTATTCCTAAGAGTGGATTTACACTTTCATTTTGTGGTGACCAGTATGGTTTTGGTTTTACTTTTTGATTCAGTGTTTCATTATGTAGCCTAGACTTGTCTGGAATGTGCTTTCCGTTGCCTGTGCCTGCCAACAGGATGGACCAAAATAGCAGTTTCTGGGACTGTTATAAAACATTCCAACACAAAATCAGCTTAGAGAAAAAGGGTTTATTTGGCACAGGCTAACAAGTCACAGTTCATCCCTGGGGAAATCAGGGCAGGATCTCAAGGCAGGAACCTGGAGGAAGGAAGCCTGGAAGAAAGAGCGCTGTTTGCTAGTCCCTTCTGTGGCTTGCTCATAGTCTCATGCTTCGCTGGTACTTTTATCTAACCCAGAGCCTCCTCCCTAGGAATGGTATTGCCTACAGTGGACAGGACCTCTTATGTGAGTTAATAATCAAGGATACCACACTCACACACATGTGTCCAAAGACCAACCTCCTAATCTGATGTAGGAAATTTCTCAGTAGAGGCTTCCCTCTCAGTTGGCACTGTGTTAGGTTGACAATAGAAGTAGGACAGCCACCATGTCTGTGAGGCTTGCATTTCTGGAGGGAACTTTTATAAAATGAACAATATACACCATGAAGAACTTGATGTTCTCTGCAACCTTGACGGAGGTGATCTAGTTCAGAAAAGAACTTCTTATGGAAGACTCATCATGGTCTAGTGTGCACATGCTGTTACCAAAGGTGTCTCCATTGAGATAAAGACACGATGGAAGGATGCAACACACTGATCATGTCGGAAGGTCATTGGTTAATTAATAAAGAAACTGCTTGGCCCGATAGGTCAGAACATAGGTGGGT